GAATGGGGCCATACATTTATCTTTCCAATGCTGCAATATCAGTCTTTTGGCCATAGTAAAGACATGGGGAATCAATTTACATTGTCCAGTTGTCAAATTCCATGTAATAGATATGTAATTCAGAGAAATATTACCCTCTGAAAATTTTAGTTTTTGTCACACAGTCATATTTATATAATCCACTACTTTCTCCCAAAATTCAGTAAGTATAGGACATTTTAAAAACATGTTTTAAAGAACGTTATCCTTGTTACATCTCCAACAAAATGCTGTCTTAGATAGACCTTTTGTATTCAAATGTAGTGGAGTCCAATAAATTCTAAATATTATTTTTTTGTTCTATAAGTTATAGTTTAAGGTCCATTGACACTCTTGGTATAGAAGAAGACACTTTCCCATTGTCTAGACAATATAGGAATCTCTAATGCTTTATTCCACTCATTTCTTAGCATCTGAATATCAAATTGATTTATTGATAACAACTATCTATGAAAACTAATAGTAGGTTTTTTTTAGTTTTAAAGGGTTTAACAAGTCTAGTATCTCAGGTGTCTCCAGAGCCGAAAATGCTGCTGGTCCAAAGAAAGTTGTTAATAAATGTTGTAGTGTAAATATTGCCATTGGGTTACATCTGATAGATAATATGTATCTCTTAACATAGCATATGTTAAGAATTTATCTATCTTCATCATCTGTTAGTTGGTCCAAAGTTAGTATCCCCACCTCCATCCTATTTTTCCATATCACCATCTTTTTCCCAATTTTTAAAGTTGGGTTTCCCCATAAAGTCAAATATATTGTTATTTTATTTTATTTTTGGCATGGGAAAAGGGGGCAAATCTTCTTTTATTAGACATTATATTCCATAACTTTCTAGCTGACACAATTGTTGCCAGAGATACTACAGTTGTAGTGTATGTGGATCCTTATACTATATATTCAACCAAAGGTGCTATATACATATATTCCAAAGTTCCCCAAATTGGAAACTTAACACCAACTGTTGGTTTCCAGTATATAATACTTGACAATAGGTAAGCATGAAGATATAGCTCCAGATTTGGAATACCATATCTTCCATCCTTAACTTTTCTGTAAAGATATTCTCAGAATCGAAGAACCCCATTGAAATTTTCTAAACAAAGCAATTTTTTTTTTCTGAAAATATTTTCCAGATATATGAACTGGGATTCCTCTCAGAATATAAATTAATCTGGGAATAATGTTCATTTTGAGAGTGTTC